ACTTATTTAAACAATTTAATATGTATCCTAATTTTAATATTACGTTTAGATTTCATTGTTTAACTTTATTTATCCTAATTATAAATTAAACATTTTTATTTATTTATTTCATTTAATTTTAATGCATTTTATCCTATTTTGTAGTTGTTTTACCGATTTATTTATTTAAAAAAAAAATTTTACCTAGAATTGTGGTCTTGCTATTGTATTGTATTCTATTCTGTTTGTAATCTTATTAAGCTCTGTGTTATAGCTATTTAGCAATAGAATTGTATTATTAGGGTTATTATTATCTATTTTCTTATTTAAACAGCTGCATATCTGTCTGTATTTGCAGTGCTGCTGCTGCTTTTGAATGACAACAGCAGTCATGATACATTTGTCTGTTAAAGACCTTCAAGGGAAAATAAAAATGAGTTCATAAATAATCTGGGCTCTTGTTCACTCATTACATCAAATGTGAGAGTCTCTGCATCGCAAACACCTCTCTCCCTCTCTCTCTCTCTCTCTCTCTCTCTCTCTCTCTCTCTCTCCCTCTCTCTCTCTCCCTCTCCCTCTCCCCCTCTCTCTCTCTCCCTCTCTCTCTCCCTCTCTCAGACAGCAATCAGACTGAAGAGAGGGTGGCATTTTCCACAGTTCATGCTCAAACGCAGCATCATTTTGAGTCACACTCGTGCACATGCTCTCAGCTTGTTTCAGACAGAGCCCTGCAGGAGACTGAGCTGGTCTGTTACTGATGTACTGTTTGATAAATCACTGATGAATCATTCAGTCGGTGCTCTCAAACCACTCACTGCAGTACTGGCTGTTTCTTTAGTGTTTATTTAGGCCTGCTGCTGGATGTTTGCTTTTAATTTTGCATAAACCCAGTAGTTCTGTTCCAAAGTCTTGTGATCTAAACCTTTATTCTTTTTCATTCGATGCTTGACGTGATCTCAACTGAAACATGAAGAGAGGGTGGGATAAAGGGTAGCTCCTCCCCTTTTTAACAAACAGCCATTAGGGTTTTGTTTCATCACAGCTCTGCCAATGAGAGCGGTTGAGCTCAAGCGCATCAAATGAAAAGCAAATGAGAAGCGTTTTGAAGGGGGCGGGGCATGTCAGATACTAGAGCGCATTGGAATTATTTCAATATTATTATTTGATTTCTGAGGAAGACGCTTGAACCAAGACTTTTTAAAGAGACTGTTCACCCAAAAAATTATAATTCCCTCCTAATATTACTCACCCTCAAGTGATTCCAAACTTTTATGAATTTCTTTCTTCAGTTGAACCCAAAGCAAGACACCAGCAGCCAATGAGAACAAACACACTATGGAATTCAGAGCTGCTGTTTTACAACATTCAAGATACTTTCTTGTTGTTCAAAAGAAGAAAGAAATTCATAAAAGTATAGAATCACCTGAGTGTGAGTAATATTGTGAGGGAATTTTCATTTTTGAGTGAACAGTCTCTTTAAAAAATCTTGGTTAGAAATCAAACAATAATATTGAAATAATTGGTCACACTTTATATTAAGTGGCCTTAACTAATATGTACTTACACAGGAATTAACAGTGTGTTACAATGTACTTATTGTGTAAATACATGTATTTACTGTGTACTTATGCTAGATTAAATGCATGTATGCAATTACATCTGTAATTAACTTTTGCAATTACATTTGTAAATACACTGTTGACCATCCCTTACACCTTGACCCACCCTTAAACCTACCCACACCACCAAACCTGTCCATAACCCAACCTCTATCCCAACTCAAAAGCACCACAAGTGTTCTCAAATACATTATAAACATAGTAAGTACATTGAATTTTATTTTTTATTTTTTGATGCAAGTACATAGTAGTTAAGGACACTTAATATAAAGTGGGACCAAATAATTCAAATTGTAGGCCTACAATATAGAAAAATAAACCAAATATAAGTTTTATTTGATAAATATTATGAACTAAACAAATACAAGTGGAGGATGAGTAATATCTTTTGCATAACTCTTCCTTTAAAAGTCATTTGTGTACATTGGTACACTGAGGTTTCTTTTCCAACCCAGCAGTAGTTCTGAACCTGGTGCCCTGGACTGTATCCTCAGCTCTTAGAGAGCCATTTTTGGATCTGGGTTACTCAACTGTTGAATAATTACTGTACCTTTGTCAAGCACAGGGTTTGTTGAGGTCGTTTGGTTAGCATATGCCTTCTACGAAATATGATTTCTTTCACCATGTTGTAACCCCCTAAACGGTATTTGTATTTCATGAATTCTAGAATGTCGATATGAGAATTAAAAATACTTGTTATTAGCTGGAGAGAATACGTTTAGACTAGTTAAATATGAATAAAATTGGGGTGGATGAGTGGTTTGTTAGCCCAGTGATGCTGATCAATTTGTGATTGTACGTATTGGTCATGGGTGACCTTTTATTTCTTGGAATTTTAGTAATTTATGTTAATGAATTATGTAAAAGGTATGTCTGCTTATGTCTCATCAAGGGCAGTTTGGCTTTGTTGTATTATAAATATATCAAAATATTCAGCCTTTCATTACATTATTTATAATTAAGTCTCTGCCTTTTTCATTGACTGATTCATCGTTTGGTTGAATTGTTAAAAAAAAAGCTGATTCAGAATCTTTGCAGATTTTAGAGCCCATTATTTTATTTTATTTTATTTTATCTAAATTTGTCTAAATGTATATGTGCTTATATTTTCCCAGTTATATTACTGACTAATATACAAATGTATAAAAGATAAATACAATTTGTTTTATTCTCTCATAATCAATTTACATTTTTGGTGTCATTCTTCCAAATTGTTTGTTTGTTTGTTTGTTTGTTTGTTTGTTTTTAAAAGTATATACAAACAAACAAACAAACAGTGTTTTATTGTAGTGTTTTAATGTAATGCACTCAAGTAAATCAATGAGAACAGCCTTACCTTGGACAGCTTTCAATGGCTTATATGTCTCTTCGCTGGCAAATTATATTTTATTTTAAGTATATATATATATATATATATATATTTATATATTTATTTATTTATTTATTTATTTTTTATATTCTGCACAGATACTAACAAATCTATATAAAAATAATTATACTTAGTAGTTGGTAGTCTTTATATACAATGACTGTACATTTCAGTCTTATCTTCTCTTTTTCTAAATGTGAAACAAACAAACACACACACACACAAACACACACACACACACACACACAGTTGTACATCTATCTTTATGGGGCGTCCTTTAAATGTAAGGGTTTTTATACTGTACAAACTGTATATTAAATTTCTCTAACCCTAAATCCAACGCTCAAGGAAAACATTTTGCATTTTTACATTTTCAAAATATTTCATTCTTTGTGTAAAATGTAAGGAATATAAGATTCACACAATTTCTCAGTACCAATTACTGTACAAAAAAATGTACTGAACAATATAAACTGCAATAGCTATTATAATCAGCCAAAAAATGTTAGCTCTGTTAGAATAAATTAATGAGACTAAATATTAGATATATATATATATATATATATATAATTTGCCACCAAAGAGACGTGAGAGCCATTGGCAGATTCCATAAAAACTGTCCAAGTTAAGGCTGTTCTCATTTGTGTTCTTGAGTGCAGATTGGCTGTTGACAAAGAAGAGCTCACATCTGCAAATACATTAAAACTCTTTTTGTTTGTTTGTTTTTTTCAAATATATACAATTTGGAAGAATGACACCAAAAATGACCCAGAAGGACACCCTGTTCTCAACACTTCAGTTCAATAATACACTCAGCCACTCAACATTCAATATTAACATTTTATGTTGAAATTTAAAGAATTTAGTAACAGCAAGAACACTATTCATTGTATAGGGTTAACAGGTTATTATTAATTATTAATATTATTAAAGGGATAGTTCACCCAAAAATGAATTTTTCATTATTTGAACTTTTTATTCTCTCGTGAGTGGTTAAAAACCTTTTGAATTTTTTTTTTTTTTCTGATAACTCAAAAGAGGATATTTTGACAATCAAACAAACATTGTTGGTTCTCTTTTACTTCAGGCACTCGAATAGGTTTGAAACAACTTGAAGATGCAGAAAAGATAATACTTTTCTGTAAAATACTCCTTTATAGAAAGCAGTTCTTAATTGCACATTGACATAAGCCATCCATCCAAGCCTTTTCAGGTCTCTTTGGCTCATACAGTTGTGAATAGTGAGTCAGTTTAAAATGCATGCAGTGATCTGTTTAATACTTTCTATTAGCGGTGACAGCTGACATTCTGCCAGCAGCATACATCTCACTAATGCAGCCTTTGAACACATAGAGAGCCATAAAGATCATCCAGCCACTTAATACGACTGAAATATGTTCCCTTTCCATTTCACATTTCTAAGTTTATCTACAGAGGTTTACATTTTATAACGCCTTTCAATTTAATGCTATCATTCTGTCTGAAACCTGGAGGACATTAGACATTTTCATTCACCAAATTAAATGGACATTTCACTTTTTTCTTTCTTTCTTTCTTTTTTTTTATTTTTTAAACCAGGCTCATTTGACTATTTCCCTAGAGTTAAACACATGAGTTTAACCATTTTTAAAGCCATTCAGCCGATCTCTGGGTCTGGCGGGAGCACTTTTAGCCTAGCTTAGCATAAATCATTGAATCGGATTAGACCATTAGCATTTCACTCAAAAATGGAAAACGAAAAGTTGCCAATTTCTAGATCAAAATGTCTAGGAACTTTACTATTATTCTGCCGAAATAATCAAGGCACTTTCTTGCCGTACCAAGGTTGCAACAGGCGCAATGATATTGCACAGCATGACAGTATAGGCTAGTTACTTAGTTGGGGACAGCGCCTCAGTGCATCCACATCCTGCCGACGCTAGGGTAGTCCTTGAACTCATCATAAAGATCATTTGGTGTAGTTTTGCTCAGCATAGGGAGGATTACGTATCATAAGCTGTATTATAACAAATATTTTTTCTTGTTTATTGCAGCACGTGCTCTTGGCCTTCAAATTCATCCTGGCGTTCGTCATACCAGATGTTCCTAAACACATCCAAGTCAAACTATCCAAGCTGGACTTCGAGTCCCTAGAAGCTCTTAAGAAAAGGGTAAGTACACATTAGTTATTGTGCACCCGTCTGTACCATGCAAACAGGAAATGCGACAGGCTCTGTCAGGAAGTACTTCAGTGCAAACAGTGACTTGCGTATATACCTCAGTGGCCTTTACAGAGTCAACAACACATGTCTGCCGACAACATCGGTGTGATGCAGCAAGCGTTACCACTCAGCTCAGATGCAGAGAGCAGCAGTAACATGCTTTCTGATCATTAAATGATCCTGGGAGACCTCCACACATGCTGAGATGCTCTGCTGACATACAGAGTGTGTTTGGGTAGGGTTTGCTAATAAGGTTTAGCTATTTAGGCAGATGTTTATCACCTCGGATGCGGCACAAGAAGTAGGTCACTCACAAAGAAGCACACAGACTGCAGTCTGCCCACAGCAGACAGGCAGACTTAATAATAAAGAAAAAGACCTTTACTAACACGCAAAGGCTGTTTATATTGAAAGACTAATATACAGATAACTGCCGGACCCTAATTTGAGTAGATATTATTTCTGTATTATGTGGTGTTAAAATGGATATTTATTAATAAAACTATTTTTAGCAAATAAGCAAATGTTATTTTGTTGATAGATCTGTCACTGAATGACAACAAAATGAGTGAGCTGTTTACCACTACCATTAATTTTAAAGCAATATAAAAATGTTTAAAAAGACAAAAATTATATATATATATATATATATATACACACATAATATATAAACAGCTATATATATACCTGACAAAAGTCTTGTAGCCTATCCAAGTTTTAGGAGCAATAAAGTCATCTGGAATGGCAAAGAAAGCGTTCTTGCAGGACTCCCCCAGAGTTCATCAAGATTCTTTGGATTCATCTTCAATGCCTCCTCCTTCATCTTACCCCAGACATGCTCAATAATGTTTATGTCTGGTGACTGAGCTGGCCATTCCTGGATCACCATGACCTTATTTGCTTTTAGGAGCTTTGATGTGGAGGCTGAAGTATGAGGAGCGCTATCCTGCTGAAGAATTTGACTTCTCCTGTGGTAATGGGCAGCACAAACGTCTTGATACCTCAGGCTTTTGATGCTGCCATCCACTCTGCAGATTTCTCGCATTTAGCTCCCATACTAAATGTAACCCCAAACCATGATTTTTCCTTCACCAAACTTGACTGATTTGCTTGAGAATCTTGAGTCCATGCGGGTTCCAATAGGTCTTCTGCAGTATTTGTGATGATTAGGATGCAGTTCAACTGATAGTTAATCGGAAAACACCACTTTTCCAAATGATCAACTAAAAATCAAGTTATTGCTTGTTGCTCTTACAACGCGGAACGACAACAAGACTTTTTGTCAGGTTTTGGGGGTTCACCAATGCAGCATTTATTTGGTCAGTAACACAATAAAAACTGTAGCATTTTGAGATATTATTATTAAAGTACTGTTTATTTATGTAAAATTTTATTATTATTATTGTTATTATTATTATTATTATTATTATTATTATTATTATTTATTATTATTGATCTGTGTCGTTGCTCTAAATAAATGAATAAAGTCTCACCTGAAACGATTGATCAGTACAAATATGAGGAAAAAATAATAATCTAAAATGCATTCATAAAACAAAAACTACAGATAGCATTGAAATATTCTGATCTTTAGTCTTTAAAAATGGTTTCAAAAAAACCAAAAGTGAGAGAGGTAAATACTTAAAACAAAAATTATTAACTGTGGCTTTTAGGCATTTTTGAGAATAGATTTTTTGTTATTCAAAGGTCAAGGTAGTTGGTGCCAATGACAGTATTTTATTTTTAAAGTATAAAATCTTACCCAGCATCAACTAGATTGAAACAATGATTCACATATGGAACATTTGTGATAACAGAACACTGTCTGCTCTAAAATAAGAAAAGACTTGATTTATTATCTAATGTATGAACAATTATTCCATACAAAGAAGTCGCGTTGATACACTTTAACAGGATTCACTGGCTTTATTTCTGCAGAGACGAGCCCTCGGTCGGTAAGTCCGTTGCCATGGCTGTAGTGATATGGCACAGTTGGATTGTGAATGACAATGAGCTGGCGTGTGCTGTTGGCATCCGACGTTATCTTTAATGTGGCCTTGTGTTTCCACCCTTCACTAACAGCAGATAAGATGTGTGTGCGATATGGCTTTCCCTTGCCTCTTAATTCTATGGATTACAATCTTTCTAGTTAATTTGGGCACATTATGAACAGTGCTCTAGTGTACATGGGGGGGGGGGGGGGATTATAAAATCAGATGGCTTATGAATATAAATTGGGTCTTCACTGTTTGTCAAAAGCAGACGTTGATAAATGTGTGCAAGCTAATGATTTAGCAAATTCCTGGAGAGAGCTAGGATTCTCTTAGTATTCTGATTTATCACGATGGCCCAGGTATTACGATCATGGCTTATTATAGCATAAATCATGTCTCTCTTCTGAATTATGTAGTAGAAAACCAATGGAAGATATACATTTTTAAAAAGAATGCACATTTTTTTGGGAGGTGAGGGAGAGGTGACTCATGTCCTCTACTCTTTCAAGGGTATGAGCCACCAAAGGCCAATCTCCAGAGGTATCTGTCCTGGGCCATTTTTTTCTACTTGTCCCCAGGTGTAACCCATCTTTGTGATGTCTGCCTCAAGGTCGCATCACCAGGTTTCTTGGACGGCCTCTCTTCCGCCTCCCTTTGGGGTTTATTCTGAGGGCCTTTCTGGTGATGCTAGTTGGTGGTTTGCATAGGGTGGCCCTATCCAACCTCAAGTTCTCTTCCAAGTGTGTGCTTCTATTGGAGGTTGACTGGTCTTTTCTCATAGGTTGGTGTTACTGATCGTGACAAGCCAGCAAATGTGGAGATTCTTTCTGAGACGGGTGTTAATGAACACCTTTCAGGTTACGGGCCACCAAAGGTTGATCTCCAGAGGTGTCTGTCCTGGGCCATTCTTTCTACTTGTCCCCAGATGTAACCTATCTTTGTGATGTCTGCCTCAAGGTCGCATCACTAGGAGTTTCTTGGATGGCCTCTCTTCTACTTCCATTTGGGGTTCCATCTGAGGGCCTTTTTGGTGATGCAAGTTGGTGGTTTGCGAAGGGTGTGCCCTATCCAACCCCATCTTCTCTTCCAATTGTGTGCTTCTATTGGAGGTTGACAGGTTTTTTCTCATAGGTTGGTATTACTGATCGTGTTGGGCCAGCGAATGTGTAAAATATTTCTGAGACAGCTGTTGATGAACCCCTTCCAGGTTATGGGCCACCAAAGGTCAATCTCCAGAGGTGTCTGTCCTTGGCCATTCATTGTACTTGTCTCAAGGTGTAACCCATCCTTGTGATGTCTGCCTCAAGATCGCATCACCAGGTGTTTCTTGGACGGCCTCTCTTCCACTTCCATTTGGGGTTCCATCTAAGGGCCTTTCTGGTGATGCTAGTTGGTGATTTGCGAAGGGTGTGCCCTTTCCAACCCCATCTTCTTTTCCAGATTTCTGCTTCTATTGGAGGTTAACAGGTCCTTACTCATAGGTTTGTGTTCCTGATCTTGTCAGGCCAGCGAATGTGCAGAATCTTTCTGAGACCAGTGTTGATGAACCCCTTCCGGGGTATGTGCCACCAAAGGTCAATCTCCAGAGGTGTCTGTCTTGGGCCATTCTTTCTACTTGTCTCCAGGTGTAACCCTTACTTATGATGTCTGCCTCGAAGTTGTGTCGACAGGTGTTTCTTGGACTGTCTGTCTTTTGCTTCCCTTGGAATCTTCTTTTCCAGAATTCTGCTTCTATTGGAGGTTGACAGGTTCTTCCTCATAGGTTGGTTTTATTGATCATGTCGGGTCAGCGAATGTGGAGAATTTTTAATGAACCGTCAGTTTTCTCTGCCCATCTTGTGTCCACCTGATTTCACTAATGCCCAGGATGATCAGGTTGTTCTTTTTCATCTCGGCAGCTACCTGTGCTGTCTTGTCAGTCTTGATCGTACATGATCCTGACATTCCATGTGCCTATGAGGATTTTACTGATCGAAACAGTTTATTCGGCTCGTCAGCTTCTTTTTTGGCTTTCACCATCTAGCGTTATACATCTCCGGTTGGACAGAGATCTCTGTTTTACAACAACATGGTTTAGTTGTAGACATTTGGTTGTAGATTTGTTTCAGCATACTTCATTACATTAAGTTATATCAAGGCAAACAAGTCTTAATACTCAGGGTTCCCTTTAAAGGGTTAGTTCTCCCCAAAATGAAAATGTTGTTATTAATTACCCACCCTCATGTCATTCCAATCCCCTGAGAACTTTGTTTTATCTTCAGAACACAAATATTTTAGATGAAATTCGGTGGCTCCTTTATACTTCATAAACACCAATGATTCCGAAAAGTTCAAAGTCCAGAAAAGGAACCAAAAACCCTCCAAAAATTCCATGTGACTTCAGTGGTTCATTTATTATCATACAAAACTTTTGAAACACTTTTGTGCACCAAAAACTGTTAATACGACTCTGTTTACCATGTCTTCTCTCCTATATCAGTTTTTAGGATGAGCGTTTCCTATAAGCAGTACAATGTCTAGTAAACATGCATTTTGTTGTGAAATAGAAGACATTTTTGAGCAAAGTTGTTTTTACAGTTTTTTTTTTTTTTTTTTTGGCTTCACAAAAGTGTTTATGGAGCTTTGTATAATAACATTTGAGTCGCCACCGAAGTCACATTTTGATAATGTTTTGGGTTCTTTGGTCGGGGCCATCGTTGTCTATAGAGGATAAGGGAGCTCTTAGATTTATTCTTAAATAGCTTAATTTGTGTTCTGAGGATAAATGAATGTCTCGGGATTGCAATAACATGAGGGCTAGCAATTCATTACATAATTTTACATATTGGTTGGTTAAAAAGATAGTACTCAAATGTCCTATAAAATAGTATTGAATTGTACGTTAAAGCTAATAAAGTTCTATCCACCTTATTACAATTAACAGTAAATCTACAGGGGATAAATAGTTTGGATTGA